TAGGTATTATCACTGTATCAAATGTAGATAGAGGCACTATCACTGTATCAAATGTAGATAGAGGCATTATCACTGTATCAAATGTAGATAGAGGTATTATCACTGTATCAAATGTAGATAGAGGTATTATCCCTGTATCAAATGTAGATAAAGGTATTATCACTGTATCAAATGTAGATAGAGGCATTATCACTGTATCAAATATAGATAGAGGTATTTTCACTGTATCAAATGTAGATAGAGGCACTATCACTGTATCAAATGTAGATAGAGGCATTATCACTGTATCAAATGTAGATAGAGGTATTATCACTGTATCAAATGTAGATAGAGGCATTATCACTGTATCAAATGTAGGTAGAGGTATATTTGATATTTGGTCAATCGTACAGTCAAATATACGAACATACCTGATTTAATGCTACGTGGCTACCACACACACAGTAATAGTAAAACACGAAGAAATATGACACACATGCACACGCATTTAAAAATACACATTACATTAGATAGGCGGTGGTCACAACACAAAGTTGCAATGTATTCATTATTATATTTGTAGTTTCCCATAAGAGATGTTATAAAATAGATTTTATATAAGATAAAACGAGTTTGGTTAAAAGTTTCACGTAAACAATAATCATAATATGAATATTTATAAAACACCATCACGTGACCAATATTCTTAATTGTTATTGATTACAAGACGTACAGTTTAGCTTGAAAGGATCTCTAATAGACCAATATTGTCAAAACGTAATATGAAATAAACATTACAAAGTAGTATGTTGTGATAATTATGTCTTATCGATTAATTACATATCCAAGCATCAATATTTATAAAACAATAAAACAAGAATTAAAAAAAAAATATTCATCATATCAATATAGTAATTATTGCTTATATTATTAATACAAATAATTAGAAGACATGTTGTTGGAGGACACGTACGCTGAGTTTTTATCATTCATTCAGTTACACTAAAAAATCTAAAATACGCAAAGACAATTTGTGGAAAACTGGTTTTGCAATAGAAACACTGTTATAATGTTTGTGGAATGTATTTTAAAAATGTCCGGAAGTTCAGTATAACCACGCAGGACCATGCGTAAGAAATACTTCAGATTTGGAGGGATATATAAACAAACAAACAAACCCTTTATCGGAAGACTAAACCATAAGTTACGTATTACCATACACCAATTGGTGGGGAATATGTTAATATATAGTACTGAAGTATGCCTGGAACGTTTCGGGAAAAAGAGGGATTTGTAAAATTAACCCGTTAGGCAAAGAATGGTATGACATGTGGTCTTGTATAATAAGGGTTGTAATTCTTATTGTCTGTACTGTGGTAAGTGGACGGTCGCACGGTAAAAGGGGTGATTGACTGGTAGCCCTCCAATAGGTTTCTCAGCCCGGAACCCAGCGCCTTCCTCACGTTATTCCCAGCCTGCAAAAAAGGGTATATACAAGACAGCTGTCATATAATCAGTAGTACACGAAAGTTCACAATATGTTGCGTTGGATAAATAAAAGGAGATATGCGGTGTTTCCGTAAAAATTTACAATAATTTATCAATAATTGCAGCAACACCAATTATGACACTAAGATCACATCGAAATGAAATGTTTCGTCGATGAGAAGAAGACAAAAATCCTAATTGCACTGTAGATGTAATGTTCTATTCATGAAATGAAAACACTATTAGGTGAAATATTGGAAGTATAAGACAAGCCGAGAACGTGTAAAATGTGTTATATTGGTATACAGTGGTGTCATGTAATCCGTGTGACTTTACGATTATATTGGTTCGTTCACCCACCTGTTTCAGACGTTTCTTTTTTCTGACGTCACTATAACCCGTGTTCTCATTATGTTTGACATTATCGATCGTCTCACTAGATTCGTACAATTCCTTGTAGTTTGATAAGTGAAGTTTTTGTTTGAGTTTTTGGAATCGTTTAGACCTATGCCATTTATTTTTTCCATGCGTGGTATCATCGCGTTTCTTTGTTGCGTAATTTGTATTAGATTCGTCTAATTTGTTCGTGTTTTCGTCAAGAATTTCGATTTCGGTTATATCTGTCATTTTATGGTAACTCGACCTTTCTTTGAGTAGTACATGGTCATCTTTGACCTGACTATCGCCCCTTTTCCTAACGTGCTCTTCAGACACTGCGTGTATGGCGTCTCTGTCAATAACGGCGTGACCTTGACCAATGTTTACGAGTTCACCCTCGACTTTCTCTGCTGTAATCTCCACAAACGTCGCCGTTTGCGTACCACTAATAGTGGCACTATTGACGCAGTCGTTATCTTGATCTTTGAAGTGTCTCTTTTTACAACTCTTGGTCATATCTTTGTTTTCCTTCGGTGTAGGACTTTGTCCTTTTCTGTGTTCTTCGAGTTTACTAAGTTTCTCCCAATTATTCGACGTCGAGTTTTTCTCTTGTTGGTTATAATCCGCAGTCTTGGAGTGAGTCGAGATTTTCACTTCTGAGTCAAACTGTTTATATTTATTTTTGCGTCTGAATAATTTGGAGATTTTAGATTTTGTTTCATTTTTTGTCTTCCTGTTGTTTCCACCACTACCACCGCCATTCACGGACGTGTCAGCCATTGATACCTGATGTTCAATTGAAAGCAAAACTGTTAACAGTAGGAATGTCACGTACCGAGCCGTAGAGAAAGGATATGTTCATGATTCCCTGTACTCCATCCTCAGTCGCCTTCGTTCCGGTAAAACCCGTTCATACTCACTGAACAGCACACCAAGTCCCCATTCGCACGCTGACAAACGACGATTGTAGTGTATAGTATTGTTTTGAGTAAGTGCGTATATCCCCTATCCAGGCGTATTTGTTTACATACTTTGCATTGCAAAACATGTCACCCCTAGCACGAGAAAAAAAAAATCTATTCCGTGTTTATGTAGAAGACGAATTACATTGTGAAAAAAGTACGAACTCGGTTGATCTGTTTCCAATATCTGTGAAAGGGTCTCTGAAAATATTTTTTTGGTGGAACGAAAGCCGTGTATATAAATAAATTACTGTTCTGTGTCAAAAATCGTTTTTCTCTCATTGTGTTGGCACAGGAGCCACGTGACAGTACTTTTCACGTCCAACTGCGTATTGTTGTGTTCAGTGCTTCGTAAATTATAAACACAACAACAATGCGAGTTGGTTAGTTGATCTGGTTGATACACGGTTACACTAGTAACCTTGGTTGATACGGGCCCCGAATACGGGAATACTCGCATTGAATACGTCACGCTGTGGGGGCGCTGTGGGCTGTGAACGTTATGAAAATAGAACGTGTAAGCAATGTTGGTTATCATCATTTTAACACAAAACATCGTTTTTAACCAATATTGTCGGGCTTCGCGGAATATCGAAAAAAGTAGATTCGGCGGATACTCTCTTTGAATTTTGAAGAGATGAGAAATGATGTTGGATTGTATAAATTGGTGAGGTCTAACGCTTTTTGCCATTATGATACACCACGCATTATGCAAATTATCGCAGGCGACGTCCTCTTGCCAAATTATGCAATGGAAACCTTGTCTTTTTTAATGCATTGCTGAATAAGTATTAGTATTCTATAATTTACGTAATATATGAATAAAAAACATACATTGTCTCCAGGCTACCTAAATAATGGCCATGCTGGTCATGGCCTATTGGTCTTTATTTACAAATTCAAGGCCATCGGTCCATATGTTCTATGGTCTTTGTCAATTAGTTTATGTTATGGTATTATACTATAAATGTTAATAGTCGATATCATGATACTGTAGTATAGTTGAATAGTCGATATCATAATACTGTAGTATAGTTGAATAGTCGATATCATAATACTGTAGTATAGTTGAATAGTCGATATCATGATATTGTAGTATAGTTGAATAGTCGATATCATAATATTGTAGTATAGTTGAATAGTCGATATCATAATACTGTAGTATAGTTGAATAGTCAATATCATAATACTGTAGTATAGTTGAATAGTCGATATCATAATACTGTAGTATAGTTGAATAGTCGATATCATGATATTGTAGTATAGTTGAATAGTCGATATCATAATATTGTAGTGTAGTTGAATAGTCGATATCATGATACTGTAGTATAATTGAATGGTCGATATCATGATACTGTAGTATAATTGAGTGGTCGATATCATGATACTGTAGTATAATTGAATGGTCGATATCATAATACTGTAGTATAGTTAAATAGTCGATATCATGATACTGTAGTATAGTTGAATAGTCGATATCATAATACTGTAGTATAGTTGAATAGTCGATATCATGATACTGTAGTATAATTGAATGGTCGATATCATGATACTGTAGTATAGTTGAATGGTCGATATCATGATACTGTAGTAAAATTGAATGGTCGATATCATAATACTGTAGTATAGTTGAATAGTCTATATCATAATATTGTAGTATAGTTGATTAGTCGATATCATAATACTGTAGTATAGTTGAATAGTCGATATCATGATATTGTAGTGTAGTTGAATAGTCGATATCATAATACTGTAGTATAGTTGAATAGTCGATATCATAATATTGTAGTATAGTTGAATGG